TGCATTAGTTGATAGCTTTAGTGTTTGAATTTAGTAATAATACCAGCAAACGTCCGGCATAGGGTTGCCAATGATTTTGACCTAAAAGCATCACCTGAGTATGGAAATATTTGCACTCACCACGCATACCTCAATGACCATATCTTCACCTTCGAACACAGTCTTGGAACGCATGGGTTTGACAAATTCTGGTGGAGTTCCTTCCTCCTGTTCGCCCGGTTTTCCTACAAGATTTGCAAGGATGATAGTGCTGATTTTAGCGAGTTCAAATTCTTATTCCATGCTTAAATACGAAACCCAGTATTAGAATATTAACCTTTTTTGCTGTATAAAATGAGTTTTAAGGTTACTGCAGAAGGAGCCGACATTTTGAGTTAGGTGTGATATTCAACTTCTACTAGTACGTTTAATAAACAGTCAAACTCCGCTAGAATCATTATATGTTTTGCAATGAGTATAAAAACACAGAGTTCTCCTTCAAGTACATTAACAGAAACAAATTCCTGTTTGTCCCGTGTTTATTCTTGCCACATTAAACCGGAGAGAGCACTTGGACATTTCAGTGACCACAAACAACCCTACTGGCTGGTGTACCGAAATTTGGCGCTGGCAAAGTCTGCCATGCCATACTGGCTAAATGACAGACATCAAGTCTGGAACTTTTCACCCTTGAAAAATCACCAGGATTGAACCATAAGAAATACTCGCACCGCATCATCGTTTGTAGGGACGTAAAAAGGCGCCTTGAAACTCAGGAAAATAAAATCGTTCGAAAACTATGCATATTTGCCTCCAATCAGTGATCCAAAGATTACAATCAGTCGATTCGTCATACAGTCTTCTAGCAGTGGGTTCGAATCATCCGCCTGGAGGGGGGTCGAAAACGGCATAATGTTATCTTATACGGAACCGGCAGAGTAAAATTACCGGATCATCATAAACGGAAATTAACATGTCTCCTAATTGACCGGAAAAAATAGAAGCCCGCTGAAAAAGTCAAATACCACCAAGCCAACATAGTCGAATTTCATGTACCGAACCAAGAGGTACAAATCGATGGTTTTCGACAGTGACAATAAGAAGAAGTTTTTCTGCTCTGCTTCTGATCATTTTTGGACAAGTATGAAAATATGGAACAAGGATTGTCTAGTCCTCTGGAGATACGGATAGTTTTGTGAACCATACGGCAATTAGTCAGTGAACTGTCAATGTCGATCTGGAAACCAGTATCAAAAGCCAATATTTCTGAGCTAACGTTAATAAGCAGACCACGTATCAGGCAAAAATAACAGATCATCATATGCCATGCCTTTGCTCAGTAAAAAACGATTAATAGTGATAAAACACAACACTGATTTTCAACAATAAAGTATGTGTTGGATCCAAGATCTGTAGAAGGATGTTGAACTGGAGTCATTTTCATGATAATCTTTAAATTACAATCGAATGTTAAGCTAATTTGTGCCATTCTCCAATCACTTGGCTAACCCATGCCATCTGTTTCACTTAGAGAGCACTCATCTATAAAAGATCTTTCCAGTTTAATGGTTTAAGACCCACAGTGAGTCAGGAGGCTCTATAAATTGGTTTACGTTAGAACAAAGTTATTAATTGTTCAATATCGTTAATCTCTTAGGAATTATCTGCTTTCATTAGAAATGTATAAGAAACATTTATAAAGCGTAATTTTCCAAAACTGTTGTCATACCTTTGACCATTAATGTACACTCTGTTTTGTCGCTGCCGTATATATTTTGAGCCATGCACATGTAGGCTCCGGCATCATCCTTCTGACTCTTAATGATCTTCAACTGACATAACCCATTTTCATCAGAAGACATGAGAATTTTGTCTGATATTTTCAGAATTTCATCGTTTCGCATCCTAAATAAACAAACATCGTGAAACTCTTAGACAATCATCACATAATTAACATGGAGGTTCTTAATTATCCATTGCACATTGAGGGAATGCAATTTAAGACACTAGCGGTAGAGATTGGATTACATTAAAGAACTGTTACGATGACCGACAGTTTCAAAACACTGCAGTTTGACGTGCCCTCACTTGCCAAAACAAGAGACCGAAAAGAACGCCGTCTGTCGGAAAGCCAAATGAGACGAGGCTAATAAGCAAGCCTCAGATGAGATGATTTGAGGATATCGAGTACCTGGCATTTTTGCCTCATCAAACGCAGTCATTGACGTTTGTCTGATAGGCGATGACGACGATCATTAGGAAAACCCATCGAAACTACTGTCCCACCACTGAAATGGAATAGCGGACTGTAAAGATGGATGAGAGAATTCGAATAAACTCTTGATCATCGCTACCTACCGACCTAAACAATATGTTTTGATTCATTCAAGTACAGGAAACGTAACTTTGTCTATGTAATGGTGGAAAGCAACAAGGCATGTGCTGGATGTCGAATATCCAGCACTTAAATATACACTTAACTCTAATGATTCGACGTCCAGAAAGCCATGTTTCCACCGCTGGAATTAAGCTGGAAGCTAGGAAAGTTTAGGATGCCTGTGTTATTGAGAAAATGGCATTCTGGTTTCTGTATATTCATAAAAATGACTCTCCCAAAATTCAAACTCTATAAGCACGTCGCAAAGAGTAGAAAACTATAGAGCTTGGGGTTGCTTGGCACAGGGAACTACGGTTGCATATATATATTTCTTGGTAGTGAAGAGATGTGAAGACTGAAAGAGTCAAATTTAAGAAACCTCCAGGTAGGAGCACTACGCCTGGATGCTAATCCAGATGGGTGGATTTAGATAATGCGTGATCACAGCGAAATCCTTTGGTACTGTTAGCTGTCCCTTGTACAGGGGTGGTCATAAAGAAGAAAGATCTTAGTGGAAAATCGTGTTGGCAAGATAATGTCGAGGAACTGAGGGAAAGGAACATAATTAACTTCTGTTCCAGATTAGTACCAGAAACGTGCCGTGCTAACGGACACAAATTCTCATTTAAAATCGTTACCTTTCAGAACGAATGGTGACATATGCTATTGTAGTTATCACAAACATGCGCATAAATGTATGAAACAATAAGTCTGAGTTCGATCAACAATATAAACTGTACGTTAATAACTTACCACGTAAGACGAGGGAATGGTTCCCCACGAACCGTGCAGCTGAACAAAACATCAGAACCTTCAACTGTATTGATGTTCCTTAGTGGAACGACGAAAGCAGCTGAAACACCTTCAGTCATTTCTTCTGTTTTCTCTACAATTTTAAAAATGTAATTAACGTGTATTACTGTATTACAAATTGTTGCATACTTTTTACATTCAACCGTGCTTCACTGCTGACTGAGCCAGAGTCGTTCGACAGTTGGACAAGGTACAACCCTTCGTCGTCTTTACTGCATTTAGGGAATATGAGCTTATAAGTATAGTTGTCACATTTCTTCGCATAGCAGCTTGGCGTGTCCTTTATTTCACGACCGTTTTTGTACCTGCAACATTAGTATGAATACGGGGCTTTACATAACCCGTGTGCCCGACCATTTAATGGTAGAAGGATTTCCTTCGACGCCAACGAGAAGTGACACTTTGTCGTCTTCCTCTGCAGTTACTTCACTAAGTGGCGTTACGATCTTCAAAGCTTTGCCTTCCTTAGCAGCTTCAGATTCTAAAATTATTATTTGCGTGAAGCGAAAAACGTTGTTTCAAATCAATCAAGGAAAAGAAAATGAATGAGCTAAAAGTTATCAAGCGGCAAAGGTTAAAATTAATAATATTTTGCTTGTGATACTCAAGCTGGTCCTTTTAAATCTGGTGAATGCGTAATTGCAGTGATCACAACTCACCATCTGACACATCAAGAACCTTTAGTAAACAAACGTGGTTTAAAAACAAAACCGTGGAATAAAACCCAAAAATTAGAATATTGTGAATGCCGCAAATGGAAAAGATAATGGGATTTGTTTTTGATCGAGATTATACATAAAACTCCCAGAACATACCATCGAGCACAAGTTTGCCTTCACTGACAGAGCTGCCAAAGTCGTTTGAAACTTCAACTTTGTAACTGGCAGCGTCATGCCTTCTGCACTCAAGGATCATCAACTGAAAGACGGTATCCTCAGCGGCTACTGTGTAAACGCGGTCGTTTTCTTTCAACGGCTTGCCGTCTTTGTACCATTTGACCGTTTTCGGCTTTTTGTCTACTTCGACTTCTAGAATGATCTTCGCCTTGAAAGGAATTCTGCGATCGTACAGCGAGCGTTTGAAAATTGGAGGTGAACCTGTGAAAAAATCTGAATATAGGATCTTTTCATTGATTACCGCTTACCTTTAATGGTTACGGAGGCGTTAGAAGTTAATGATGAACTTTCGTTACTCGCTACTGCCTTGTAAGCGCCAGCTACTTCAAGACCAGCATGAGGCAGAGCCACTTCGTAAATGCTTTTCGTTCCGGCGACGGTCGCTCGACACATGTCGACAGGCAGCGGGGTATCATCCTTGAACCTTTACAAACGATATGCAAAATAAAAGTACTGTGTAAAGCATACCATTGCACTGAATCTGGAATGCCTTGAATAACAATTCTGAGCAAGCCGTCAGAACCTTCTTCCAAAGCTAGGTTATGCAAGCCTTCCAGCAGTTTTAGTGGAGCCTTCTCCGGAGCCAGTGGT